TATATATATATATATATATATATATATATAAATGAAATTCTTTTCATCCATTAGTTTTTAGGCTTGACTTGGGTCTAACCTAAATTATAATATGATATTTCAATTTATCCTAATGATTTATAGATGTTTAATCGTACAAATTTTATATTCAAAATGTCTAATGTGTTTGATTATTTGAATTATCATTTGCAAGATATCAAACTTTTGTTCGTACATTCCAAAGTTCAAGTTCTACATAGGTAATATTAGTGAATTGAAAAAAAAAATACTTGAGTTACATTCATCCCAACATTTTCTAAGCACACTCCTAGTTATTGGCCTTAGGAATGACGTGTTAGAAATGTTACATTAACTAGTAATATAATTAAAATTAAGGTTATCAAAATCAGACCATTTAGATCCACCGATCCATACTTTATTTGATTGGTTCATAAAATAGTTTTATAACTAATCAATAGAAAACTAGTAGAATTGGTTAAATTGGTTTGATTCGGTGCAATTAAAAAATATTTGTAGTTTCTAAAATTTAATTTACATTAAAATTAAAAAATCATATTTAATAAAAATTCTAAATTAGAATAAATTATTTTATCAATTATTTTTAATACTTTTCTTATAAATATAATTTAAACATTTATATTAATTTATAATTTTTAATGTCTTTATTTTATAATTTATATTATATTAATTTAATATTTTTTATTCTAGATTAAACTTGTTATATTTTATTAAAATTTATACTTAAATATTATATATTACTTAGACTAGAATTTGACATATAAGAACTTATCAAATACTTTATTATAATTTGTGTTTTAAAATTATGATATTATATTTAATATATTTTTATATTAATAATAATAATAATTATTATTTTATTTATCAGACTGATCACAATTAATCTTGAACTAATAGTTAGACTAATTTAATAATCAGTTCAATTTTAAAAATATCGATAAAAATAATATATAATATCATTTTTTATTAGTTAATTTTGAAATTACATTAAGCCCTACTTCAATCCCAAGCCCATATAATTTTCAAAATAACTTCCTATTTTTCTCCTTTGTCTAGAAATTATTGTAAAATTTTGTTATATAGATAGCATTCATTTGATTTTGTTGTGTATCAAAAACCAAAGAAATTATGGTGCAATAAGCCGGATTTATATTGCAAAAACTAAAAATAATGACACGTGTGACTGACAATACCCAATGAGTGACTCATTTGAGTTTAGAAGTAACCGTTTCACTCTGTAAATCATTGCTTTTGGGAATTACGACAAAGTTGCAACGGTGATTATTTGTCAAACATCTATTTACTCTTTGAATATATATTATAAAGAGTTAATCATTTATATATCATCAGTCTAAAATTTTTTTACACCGACAATTAATTATATATTTTAATAGTGACATGTCAGTTACTTATATAATAAAATAATAATAAAATAAACAATTTTAAAAAATATGATTAACTGCTAATAAATTTTACACTAGTAATGTAAAGATGATTAACTCTATTATAAATTGACATCAAGAATGAAAGACTCATACAAAATCTCAATAATAATAATTTTTTTAATAACTATCTACTCTACTATTTTTATTATTTAACCAACTTTATTATTTAATAATCTCAATTTTATTTTATTTTTATTTTTAAATAAAATATAAAGATACTGAATATTTCATCTATTAGTAAGTATAAATGCGATACTTCTTCTTTTAATCTTTTTTTGGTTTTCAGTTTTAATTAGACACTTTTACCCCTCAGCCATATATCACTTTAACCTCTACATATAGATATTCTCAAATCCAATTTTTTTTTCTTCTATTACAATCATCATCTTCTCCCAAAACCCCTAAAAAAATTAATACAAATACACAATGCTCCTTTTCCCAGACAATTTTGAAGATAATAGCATTAAATAGGATAGAATATGTTAAAATTTATTTATATTTAAGTTTATCATTCACGAGTTTTTTTTTTTTTTTTAAATATTTGAGCATGCAAGGAATACAAATGCCTTGGATAGAATTTGCAACTCTTATAAAAAGTGTTTAAAAGAAAATGTTAGTAACGGTGGTGTTGCTGCTGCTACTCCTAGGATTACATGTAGAGGAAGCAAATATGACAGTAAAAATATGCATATTAGGCAAAAGCCATTTATGTTTGTAGCTAAACCACTATGAGCTCAAATAACTTTTTTTATGCCTAAAGCACTATAACTCTCAAGAAAGAATCTAAAAGAACTTCACTTAGAGAATCAGACCTTCTCAAGCTTCTCTCTTTCTTGCATAAGCACCAACATGGATTGTCACATGTTCCTCTCCAAGGAGCTCAGGTCATCAATGGATGGCTCTCACCATGGCTCTTGCACATGGAATTTAGCTCATAAGATGGATTTGACCACAACGTGTTGAATGTATCAGCCTGCAACTTCTTTGACATTTCCAATATTTAATTAGATGAGGGTATTTATAAAAGATAGATTTAATATATCATTTGGTTCCAAAATTTTTTGAAAATTTTAAACTGTGTCCTTAAACTAAAAAAAATTGTAATCAAGTTATTGGTCTTTTATACTTTTTGTAATTAGGCCCCTAGAATAAGTAAAACTATCACAAAATGTTACTTTTGTTATGATTTGAAACCACCACAAATTAATTACAAGGACTCAATTATAAAAAGAGTTAATCACTTATACACTGTTAGTGTGGCAATCAATCATATCTCTTAATAGTATCATGTCATTTGCTCATTTAATCAAATAAAAATAAAATAAAATAATTTAAAAAATATGATTGGTTACCAGTGTAAAAAACTTTATACTGGTAATGTATGGATGATTAACTTTTATAAAAATATAAAAGATTAGGGATTTAATTACAAACTTTTAAAGTTTAGGTATATAATTAAAAAAATTTTAAAAGTTCAGGGACTAATTGATATATTAAATGTAAAAGGAATAACGCAACCCTAAAGAAAAGGTAATGGAAACTTACAGCAGGCATGGAAAGCAATCCACCACTTAATGCACTTCCTCGGTAAGGGTCCATACCAAGCTAAAACACATTCAGATGAGAGAACAGTCACCAACTTTTCCTTTGAAATAGTACAGGACAATTCACAAAAAAAAAATGTAGTTCAAATGGTAATACCTTACTATAGAAATGACAAAAACCACAACAAGATATGCAACTTTGAATAGACGCCTTTTTTTCTCCCAATTCAGCTTATTGTAGATTTCAGTGACATCTGCTAAGTGCTCTCTTTTAATGTACCTGAATATTAGCTTCCAAGTCATATGAGGTGTAGTAATATAAATGGAAATAATGAGCATAGATAGCACATATTTTAGACAGATAAATTGTTGAAATGCCAGGCCTTCTGGATTACATTTTATTATTTCATACAGGACTGCACTATGCTGCAAATGTCCATTATAATGACAAGATTTTGAATTCAAAATTGCAATCTAATTATTCAGATCATTTGAATGTCAATTGTATTGTATGCTTAAGATATTTTTTGGGATGGCAATGCAGCCAATGTTTTATACCAAAAAAAAAAAAAAAAAAAAAAAAAAAAAAAAAAACTCAATGCAGAAGTGTTAAATTTTTTCCATCTCCAAAAGGGTTTCAGACTCCCAACACAATCTAAACTACGATGCAGTTTCAACTCAAGTTGGACATACATAACTTAAGAAGTTATGCAACTCAAATTTTGGTAGTCCTTGATTAAATAAGTTAATAAGCATGTCTTTTAACTAATGAGTTGACAGTCTTCTTGTTTCACCATAATGTGTGTGCGTGTGCCAAAACTCAAAAGTATTTGGGGGATTTTCATCATAATTATTTATGATCATTGCCCTAAGTGTTTTTTCAACAGTTTCAAGGTCATCCTTCAAATTACAACAATAGAAACTGTTCAAATTCAAACAACTACTTGAAGTTATTTTTTCTTTCATTTTGCAAATGGCATCCTAAAAGTCCGAATACAAATCATTCAAACCTTGTAATCACAAACATTTTAGTCATTGTAAGCTATCAAATCACCCTTAAAGTTTTATCGCAAAATCTGAGCTAACATATTCATTCCAGTCTATTGAGTTTTGCTTCAATAATTTAAAATAAACACAAATTCTCTCAATAAGAAGATTGAGAAGCCTACCGAAACAAATTCAAAAATCTAAAATTAACAACTTCACAACTATATTAAAGAGCATTGAGTTATGGTATGTGAGCTTCAAAGTGAAATTTTGGTGATAAAATTGACACAATAAAAATGCTACCAACATTTTTCCTAATACACTCTTTTAAACATGTTTTCTTTTATTGACAGAAATTTAATGGAAATCACAAATTTTGTTGGGTCTCACTTCTCATTTAATGACCATTTCTTCTGATTTCATAATTTTCAATAATTTTTAACCAATAGAACGTGTGTTAGAAATGGTGTGGAGTGCTAGAGTGTGTTGCTAATACTCCTCATTGATTCAATTACAATTTAAGTGCATCTTTTGGATGCCTTTCTTCACTGCTCCAATTTTAAGTTCATGTGAAGAACTAAAGAAGAATTATTTTATCCTTTTACCAAGCTTTATGGTCTTTAATATATGAAATTATGAAACAACATATGCTCCTTTGCATTTTATGTTGCCTAGTATAGATATAATAAGAACCAGCAGTTTTAACAAGACAGAATTAGTAAAGCACAAACTTTTTGAGAAGGAAAGCTTAGGGGGAACAAAAGATAACTTACAATCTCACATTGTAATACAGGCAAGGGAGAGATATCAAGAATATAAACCAATGTCCACCCGTAAGATTGATGAAGCAGAAGATTCCATGGATGATAAACTCTGGTAAAACAACCTGGTTAATCCGAGAGGTTGAATCATATGGGTTGATATAATCAAACTCCAGGTCCACCAACAATATAAGCTGCAATGAAAAAATTCAGGGGATCAAGTTTGTTTGGTATAACAATAAGCAGCAATTTTCCTCACTTGAACTAATCGATGGCAGACAACAATTGAGCTGCAACAATTAAGCAGCCTGCAGGTTCCAACTTCAAAGACAGCATTATAATCTTTAACAAAAAAAAAAAAAAAAAAAAAAACTAGTAGTATATTGTACTATGTCAAAGCTGCTGATTAAAACTTAGTTTAAAATACCATCAAGGTAGTTTTGTAGACAAAAGTATTTACTAGCTACTACTAGTACACCAATTTTTTTTGGGAGTAGGAAAATTGTAGGAGAGGAATTTTGAAGGGGATTAATACACATGCCAATGATGAGATTGCAGAGTAAAAAGAACCAGGAATGGCAAAATACATAAAAAGTATAAAGCCAACAATTGAATAATATTTTACAGAGAGTGTAAGAAAATATCATTTCTCCATTTTGCTTTTAGTTACATGACTGTATTTTCAGTTTATATTTTGTTTAGTTATAGTTGACTTGCTGTCAGTTATAACCAATCTTAAGACCTGTTTATATAAACTTCTTTAGAAGCACTTCTATGAGGAAAAAAAAAAAGGAAGGAAAAATGAAGCAAGTTTTTCTTTAAACTAAAATTAACTTATGAATAACCTAATTTGTAGAAGTTCTCTCGTAGCTTCTCCAAAATATTATAAATTAGCTTGTGCATAAGTTAGTTTAGCTTATACACAAACTTGTTTCATTTTTCATTCCTATTTTTTTCCTCCAAAAAATGCTTCTGAAAAAGTTTATTCAAAGACCCTTAATGTAATCTTTGCTACCTGTAACTTCTACACTGAAACTTCTATTATAAATATCCTATTTTGTACAGAAGCTTGGTGCCTATTATATTTCCACATTTCAGTAGGAACAATTTCTTTCCCTGTCTCTATGTTTTTCTAATATGATATAAGAGCATAAGATCCTAGGGTTTCTTTTTTTCTTGTTGATGAATTCTTCAAATCCACCACTGCCCCCACCACACTCCGCTCCTATTCATTCTTCCACTCCACTCACCTTCTCTCAGATGATTACAGAGAAGCTCACCAAAGACAATTTTGTCTTATGGCAACAGCAGATCGAACCAGTTATCAAAGGCCACAAGCTACAGTCATATCTAGTTAATCCTCACATTCCTTCATGTTTTCTCTCTGAAGAAGATTGCGCAAATGGATCTATCAATCCTGCGTATCAATCTTGGGAACATCAGTTACTCTTATATGTATTTCTACCAGACTTCTCACTATCAGACTCATCATCATAGTTATCTATCAGCACCGCCAGGATTTTTGAAAACTCACTATCAGCCTCAAAACACTCAACAGCTTCAATCTCAGGCTATGATTGCCAACACAGTACCTACTCACAATTCTCATCAGCAAGCTTGGTATCCTGACTCTAGAGCTTCCCACCATGTCACCAACAGTTCTCAAAATATTCAGCAGTATCAGCCTTTTGAAGGACCTGATCAAACACAGATAGAAAATGGCCAAGGTTTGAGCATCAACACCTCCGGTGTCACTCTTTTTTTCTCACCTCTATGTCCTAACGTTCCTCTCATTCTTACAAATCTTCTTTTAGAGAGGAAACTAAAATTAACTTATGAATAACCTAATTTGTAGAAGTTCTCTCGTAGCTTCTCCAAAATATTATAAATTAGCTTGTGCATAAGTTAGTTTAGCTTATACACAAACTTGTTTCATTTTTCATTCCTATTTTTTTCCTCCAAAAAATGCTTCTGAAAAAGTTTATTCAAAGACCCTTAATGTAATCTTTGCTACCTGTAACTTCTACACTGAAACTTCTATTATAAATATCCTATTTTGTACAGAAGCTTGGTGCCTATTATATTTCCACATTTCAGTAGGAACAATTTCTTTCCCTGTCTCTATGTTTTTCTAATATGATATAAGAGCATAAGATCCTAGGGTTTCTTTTTTTCTTGTTGATGAATTCTTCAAATCCACCACTGCCCCCACCACACTCCGCTCCTATTCATTCTTCCACTCCACTCACCTTCTCTCAGATGATTACAGAGAAGCTCACCAAAGACAATTTTGTCTTATGGCAACAGCAGATCGAACCAGTTATCAAAGGCCACAAGCTACAGTCATATCTAGTTAATCCTCACATTCCTTCATGTTTTCTCTCTGAAGAAGATTGCGCAAATGGATCTATCAATCCTGCGTATCAATCTTGGGAACATCAGTTACTCTTATATGTATTTCTACCAGACTTCTCACTATCAGACTCATCATCATAGTTATCTATCAGCACCGCCAGGATTTTTGAAAACTCACTATCAGCCTCAAAACACTCAACAGCTTCAATCTCAGGCTATGATTGCCAACACAGTACCTACTCACAATTCTCATCAGCAAGCTTGGTATCCTGACTCTAGAGCTTCCCACCATGTCACCAACAGTTCTCAAAATATTCAGCAGTATCAGCCTTTTGAAGGACCTGATCAAACACAGATAGAAAATGGCCAAGGTTTGAGCATCAACACCTCCGGTGTCACTCTTTTTTTCTCACCTCTATGTCCTAACGTTCCTCTCATTCTTACAAATCTTCTTTTAGAGAGGCATGCTAAGAGCCAACACAAAAGGAAAAAAGAGAAATGAACCTTGACAACAGTGAGATTCCAAACCAATGCAGTCCTTAGTGTGCGTTTGGTTAAACTCAACTTCATAAATTAATAGCTTTTTTTTTCTAATTTTATCAGTGCTTTAAAAAATAAGCAATTATTTTCCAAAATTAAATCTTTTTTCCCCAAATAAATGGCTCACTTCCAGAAAATTGTTCTAAAATCCATACACCAGTACAGGGTAAGCAAGCACTAAGCACTTGCCACCACAAATCTGAAAGGCTCTCCAGTCAATTTTTTTTTTATTTTAAAATCATGTATATGAAATTAAGACAAACAATTTTTCCAATTAAAATTGAAATCTTCCCCCCCGTCTCCTTCTGCTTCTATTTTTTTTTTTTTAAGGGAAGCCTTTAATTGGGAAAAATAAGCAGCGAAAAAGCAATAAGAATTGAATTAAAAAATGAAACTTTGAGATTCAAGCAGAATCTAAATAACGAAAATCAACAAAGGGGTATGAAGAAATGCAAACCTGGTAACCGAGGATGCAAAGAATGGTCAAAATGAGAACAAACGTTAAGATCCAATATAACACCTCCGCCATAACACCCACCACCGCATGCCGTTCTTTATCGCTTCCTCTTCCTCTTTTCCTCCTACGCTTTGCTTTTTCTTAAACGGAGTTCCTTCTTTTTTGGGAAATATAATCTTAACCTCGTTGCTTTTGAATTTCCCTTTGCAGAATGAATCTTTTCTATAAAAGGGTGCTTAATTCATTTTTCTTCCTCGTATAACTTATATAAACACATCCTTAAATAACATACTATTTTTTTTAAATGAATCAAATTTAAATTCTAAAAATAAATAAAACATTTTATTTACCACCAAAAATGTGCATGAACTTAATATGAAACCTAACATAAATGTTAGTAACTCTATTTGAATATATTATCTTTAATCGAGTGAAAAAAATATATAATTTTTTATCGGTCCCACCTCATATTTAATTAATTATAAAATTAGAATATTTATATAAATTTATTATAAATATTAATTATATACAAAAATATTTAACAAGAATATTATATAAGTTAAAATATTAGTTTATTATAAATCTAAAATAGTTTATATAAAATAAATTTTACAGGTCAAAATACTGGTATATATACACATAGAGGTTTTGATAATTAAATTTTAAAAAATTGAAATTCAATTTAAAAATAAATGATATTAAATATTCTCTCAAAATTACAAATGTAAGAGTACTTTAGATTGTATTTGGATGAGAGAAAAAAAATCTACCTGATTTTGTCTCATAAATGCTCTAATGTTACACCTCAATACAACTAATGCATTGCAAATTCACTTTAAATTTTAGACAAGAGAACAAACGAATGATTCTCACTATCACTACATGTTGCAATCTCTGTCTCAAGATCATTATGCGTCACAATAGAAACCTTACAACGCATTACTCTTATTCCTCCTCAACTCCATATTTATTTTATTTTATGCATAGAATCAAACTCGACATTATAAGATTTACAACTCATACACTCTTCTCAATTTTCATAGTCTTCCGTGTTGCCAACCACATCTTCTGTTATGATATTAGCACCTTATTACAATTTTTGCAATTAACATCTACATTGATGAGGATGAGTGATGGGTCTTGTATCATCCAATATAATGATTTCACAAATCATCTATGAGTTAAGTTTCTTATGATCTTGGGATACCGTTATTGATGCACATGTGAGGGATTCTTCCAATTTCTCTAACATACGATTAGATTTGTTAAATAGGTTCAGTCCACTCTTCAAAGTTTTGGCCCATATGGATCAAGGTCAAAAAAGTTCATAGAACTAAAAAGCTTATAAAAAAAATTTACAGGATTAGAAAAAACCCATAAAGCCCTTAGGACTAGGACTAGGACTAGTCCATTAGCCAATTTTTTTATTATAAAAATAATAAATTAACTATTAAAAATTATCACATTCATTTTATAAATTAACTTATTTCATGTAACCACTAGCGTGGGTGGGAAGGAGTTGGGATAGTTAGAAGTATGAGAACTTAGGTTCAAGACTCATTTGACCATTTTTGTAATCTTTCCTATCTTTACCAGAAAAAAAACTTATTTCATGTACTAATTACTCTATTTTATGAATTAACTTCCAATTTTTAATTTTTTAAAGAAAATTTTCAATTAACATATATTTATTTTAAAATATAAATAATATTTAACTAACATTAATGTTTAAAAAGTTAACATTTAAATTAAAATTAAGATAATCACATTTTCTACAAAATTAAGATAAAAATATTAATTAACATAAAAGAATCATTAATTAATTAATAATTACATTCGAAATTGTACATGGATTGAAATGTGCAATTAACTAACATAACTTACATAAGTTATCAAAATTAAGTAACATAGCATATACCAATAATAGATAAAAAAAATTAGAGAATATTTAAGTTCAACTTATAATATTGAGTCATGATCTTGCATGTCAAGTAGTCATATTCTTTTAAATAATAAATATTTTTTAAATTCTTCTAAAATTGCATTGTATTTAAAAATATTGTAAAATTTCTTAATTTGATAGTTAGCAGATGGGAGACATATAATAATTTGTAAAACGAGCTTAATTTTTTTTATATATTATTAGTATAAAAAGATTATGCCATCAACTAAAAATTATTTTAAATAAAAGAATATGATTTTTAAAGTAATTATTATAAAAGTAAATAATTTTATCATAAATTATAATATATGATCATATGAAAATTCAAAAATTATTTAAATTCTTATAAAATTGTATTACATTTCAAAACATTGTATTTTATTTTATGTGGTTAATTTTATTAAGGTGTATTCTATCATGTACCATCATATGAATATTATTTATTTTATATAAAAAATAATTAAAATTAAAATTAATGATATGTGAGTTTATTATCTACATATAAAATAAAATAAAAAAATTAACGGTAAAGTCAATTTTTTTACTTTGACTTTCTAGTGTTTTTAAAAAAATAAAAAAGGAAAGAAAAAGTTCATAAACATGAAAAATCATGTAATACCCTGAAGTTTTTCTAATAATAATAATTAATTAGGGAGATGATCATAATTTTATTTTATTTTGTGGATAATTGATTTTATTTTATACATTTTAATAGATTTAATCAGTCAGGGGAACATTATAAATATCTAAGATAAGAGGGGATTTAGAGAAATAAAAGTTGCATATTAGAAGAGAAGAGAGAAAGGGAAGATTATTATTCATTTTTCATTTTTCAATGACGACATATGCTCTAAAGAAGACGCATTTAGAGAACAAGGAAAAGGAATCATCAGAGAGGAGTCAGAGGCAACATAGATATGATATTTTGCATCACTCCAAGTAATGAAAAGTGAGAACACTAACTTTTGGAAATTGGGTATATGCATGATGGGTAGAGGGATTGACCCCAATCCCATAAGTTTTTTGTTTGATGAAATTATGTGTGCGTTTGATGCGATTGGTCGAGTAGATTCAGAATATGTGATTTAATTAATGATCATATGTCACGTAGTAATTAATTGAATTCTCTGTAAAAAGGGGTTAGAATCCTTAGGAGAGAAATTTGATGAAATTAAGGGGGAAAATTTGTATATGCTAAATTGGTGAACTTCTTGGATGTAAAACGAATTTCTGGTTGAGTGTAAATTGGATGAATAATTTGGGTGATGTCTGTTTCAAAATCGTGTTTTCCATTGATGTGTTTGGGTCCTGGAACGCATGCAACGCCGAGCTCAAATGCTTGACGTCAGGTGTGCCTTCAAGTGTATGAAGGCACTGCCCAAACGTGTTGGCGCCGAGCACAAGACCTTGTGGTGCTCTCTGTTTTAGCGTCGGGTGTGAGGTGTGGCGCCAAGTGTGAAAGGATTTTGGTGCTCTCTGTTGTAACTTAAAGTCGGGTGTGAGTTTCCAAGCCAAACGTGGATGGTCAGAAGGTTAATTGTGATGTTTTAAACGATGTTTATGATTGTTTATATGATGATGGATGTACATACATACATACAAAAAAGGGATTTAGAAAGAATGGTTGGCTGTCGGTGTTTGGGTTCAAACAAACATATCCCTTGGAAAAAAAAAGTACACATCCTCTTAGTCGTCCTAGACTGCATGCTTTGAACTCTGGCTGGATTCTTCACGGGGCTGCAATTTCTTGATAGGGTGTCTAACTCGCGTTTCAATTTTTGATCTCGATGCTTGTCACTTGCTTTTTATATTATCCCTAACTTTTATCTAGGACGTATCTTAGCGGATTTTTTTTTACAAGCGATCTTGTTCAAGCGTAGTATTTCTTCACGGTGTCGGAGTTCACCGAATAAGTTAGGTCCTCACCATCTATGTTGGTAAGGATCAATGCTCCGCCAAAAAAAGTTTGTTTAACCACATACAGACCCTCATAATTCAATGTGCATTTCCTTATCTTGTCCTTCTAAGCTAGTAAGAGTTTCTTAAGCATGAGATTGCCTTCTTGGAAGTGTCGAGGATGAACCTTCTTATCAAAAGCCTTCTTGATCCTCCTTTGATAAGTTTGCCCATGACAGATAACATCCAGTCTTTTTTCTTCTATGAGGTTCAGCTGATCAAATCAACTTTGTACCTATTCAGCCTTGGGGAGTTTTGTCTTCATGAGTAGTCTTAAAGAAGGAATTTCCACTTCTATGGGTAAGACTGCCTCCATACCATATACCAAAGAGAAAGGTGTAGCATCAGTCGTTGTACGAACATATGTTCTATACCCATGCAAGGCGAAGGGTAACATCTCATGCAAATCCTTGTAAGTGACGACCATCTTTTGAACAATCTTCTTGATGTTCTTATTGACTACTTCAACCGACCCATTCATTTTAGGTCTGTAAGGGGAGGAATTGTGATGTTGAATTTTGAAAAAGCCACATAAGTTGGTCATCATCTTGTTGTTGAAGTTGGACACATTATTTGTTATAATCTTGTCAAGAATTTCATATCGGCATATTATATTTTTCCTGACAAAGTTGACCACCACCTTCCGGGTTACATGTTCATATGAGATTGCTTCAACCTATTTGGTGAAATAGTTGATGGCTACGAGGATGAAGCTATGTCCATTCGAAGCTTTGGGTTCAATGGGCCCAATGACATTCATGCCCCACATTGAGAATGACCATTGTGATGTCATCACATTGAGTTCGTTGGGTGGGACTTGGATGTTATCTACGTATACTTGACATTTTTGACATCTTCTTGTGTACAGGATACAATCATTCTCCATGGTTGACCAGAAATATCTTTCCCTCATGATTTTCCTGACCATGGTGTGTCCTGTCATATGGGTACCAAAGGTTCCTTCATGGATTTCTTTCATGAAAGATTGAGCCTCCTTGTGATTGACACATCTTAACAAGATTGAATTGAAGCTTTTCTTGTAAAGGACTCCCCTATGTGATGATAATCCGATAGTTCTACGTCTAATCGTCTTCTTATCATTGTCGGATGCTCTGGTTGGATATTTTCCTCCTTCGATATATTGCTAGATGTCAAAATACCATGGGTGGCCATCATCTTTTTCGTCTATCATGAAGCAATGGGCTTGTACTTCATGACATCAAATTCTAATGACCGATATCTCGCTTCCTTCTTTTATGGCGAACATGGAGGATAGTGTGGCAAAGGCATTCACCAACTAATTTCCTTCTCTTGGAGTGTGTTCCAAGTTAATTGATTCAAACTGGGTATTAGGTTTT